CACCCACGCGCGCACACACACATACACACGAATGCATGCACGCATATATATATATATCTATATCTATATAAATTATATTATACATACATATATTTGTAAATCGCATTCCTCGTGTATGATCGCACGTGTGTATGAACAAAAAATGTCCTTACCTCACTAATAATACGGTATTCCTTCGCCACATCACGATGAGGCATATACAAACGTGACGGTAACCTTGAATAGATTTATAATGAATGCTCCACAAAACAGTATCGCGATCAAAGACATACGGAGACAGCTACGTTTGCTTTTTATCATCGAGCGCTGTTGGATACCTGCAGAAACGACCTTTATGAAAAGCAATACAGATACAGCGTTGTAATTTCAAACACATTTCTTCTAGTATCGACTCACGTAACTCAGTACATATACCCACGTACATGCACGCAGCGGATATTATTCCCCCAAAAAAAAAAAAAAAGAAAAAATGTTCCGACAATTAGTAACGTCGTATTTTAATGATAACATATAAGGTAGCCTATATGTCTTACGGCAGCCATCGATGGTAATGGTCAAGTACAGGTGAGAAGTGATTACAATTTTCTACATCTGTCCACGTACGCGGTTTTTGTGAATCATGTACATGGGTTGACGAGGTTAGTTACGCCAGGTAACATCCTCGCTACACACGATTAAAGAATTACAAGTGAAAACACTCACCGCACACACAAACCATTCAACCTGTGAAGATGCGACAAGGTTTTTATATTTTACAACTGTTTTACTAATATAGTAATAGCCTATATATATATATAGTATATATAGATATATATAATATATAATAAGCTAGCTATTACCCAGCCTCAGACGGGGTTTAAGTGGCCGGTCCTGATTTTGAGGATGGCGGTTAAACCCACTTTATCCTCGTCACTTTTAGTTGAGGAGTATATTAGCAGTAAAGTACTGAAAGGCCTATATGTAGACTCGAGTCATATATATAAATAATCAATATTTTTTTTTTTATAGCTAAATTAATATATATAACAATCTGAAATTTTAACCCTTATAAATTACATACCAATTTAAAAAAATAAAAGGAAATGAGATTGATTATCATAGAGCAATTTTTACTTAATTTAGATATTATTTTTGAAAATATCATGTCTCCGTATGCGGTACGAACATCATTAACAAGTCAAAATTCTTAAAAAAAAGCAAAAATGCATTGAGTAGTTTGAAGAATATATTTTGAAAAGTCAGTGGAACGGCGGCGGGCAGGGTACAACACCTCCGTTGTCAAATATTTTGGCAGGCACCACGCGCGCACACACACCATCCACACCGAACACTGCGCGACGAGCACGGGCCACCACACCGCATTCACGAACACATCGGGCATGCGCGACCACATTCACAGCGGCACAATCCACACCGCGACCACAACCACTCACAACACGATACATATACACACACACGGGCTGCGCAACACACATGAACACCACACGACATTAACACAAACGCTACACACACGCATACACACATGACATATCATACATACATACATACACACACGAACACACACGCACGACGCACACGCACGACCACACGCACGCCACCACCCACGACACACACACGCACCGGCGCACGCACACGGCACATACCACAGCGACATACACACTGGCAGCCACGGAAAGTTTGGGCAAGCAGGAACGAACATTTCGTGGGGTTTGTGCTTTAAATTTTGAAGTCTCAACAGCTTGTAGACCGCGGCAATGAGTGCTGTTTATACACCGGCAGCCGCATGTCTTATGGCTGTGTGCGTTTGCAGCGTGCCGGTGTGGGTGCGTCGCGTTGTAGGTGCGTTGTTAGTGTGGCTTGGCTACTATAATGAAGTCACCTAATTAAATGGCTTATTATTATTCTACATAGTATAGCTATATTAATCATTAAAAGCCCGTGAGAAACATAACATATACTTGTATAACACCAATTTTGTGCAAAGGTTATGGTATATATGTGTGAGTTATATGTGTCGTCTTAGACAATCGAAACGCGGTTAACAATGTCAGAGAAAATTGCGGAGGCCGGGTAAGCGCTGGCACGGTTACACCTCCGTTGTCAAATATTTGCAGCACGCGCACGCGCTGCCATGTCCACGCTACGACATAACCGCATCTCGACCACCACATTACGGCACATGCGCACGCACGCAAATCAGCGAGCGCCCCAGCGGGAGGACCACGCACGACACATACCACATTCTTACACACACGGAGCGGCGCACACACATACACGCACACGCGCAATGCACACGCACAACACACGCATAACTTAGGACCAACTGACTCCGGGATGAGCATTTTTCCGCGGATCGCGGAATCGGCGGATTTGACAGTCGCAGGGGTCAATTTGTGGAAACGTGAAAAGTTCAAGTGAGAATTGGGGGTGGGTAAGAATTAAATTGAAATTATACCTGAACAGTAAAGCCTGACAGTGACTGACAGCGAAAAGTCAACAGCGGGTGTTAGCAGATAGCCACCGTGTACGTCGCGCCTGGCCGCTAGTCATGGAACAGCGGATGCCGCATGATATACGGGCGATACGATTGCTTTCATGTCTATGGCGCGAAGCGATGCCGTGTGTGGAGCATGTTTAGTGACGTGGGAGTGACGGCGCTTGGGAAGGGAGAATAACGGCATGCGTTTAAGGACTCGCTATTTCTATCCCTGGTATAGTATACAGTATCTTTGTAGTATTTTATGACATGGAACTGTGTGATAAGTGACTTATTGACAAAATGCTGGGATGTACAGGAATACGACGAAATCAAAGTAAGTAGGTTTAGAAAAGAAATTATGAGTGGTTGAAAAGCCATGAAAATCGAATTTACTCCAAGCGCGTCTTGCCGTACACGCCGTGAATCTTGGACGTTGCAAGGTTTGGCAGTGATTACACATGCCTGATTGACTGCAGCATGCGGATTTGGCGATCTTAATAATTTGGATGCGGGTTTCGCGATGAGAGCACGTCCAATAACAGGTGATTCACGTACGTCTGCTTGGACTGCGCATGCGGATTTTGCTATCTGTAAAGAGAGGCGGTTTCCGATGAATGCCCGAAGTTTCTTCGGGCACATAACTTTTAGAAAATTGCCTCCAAAAAAGTCACTTTACGATGGAAAAATCGCGTTCTAACGTAGCGAAAGAATGTCCATTGCAGCGACGCCCAAGAAGGGGCCACCACGCTCGATCGTGCTGAGCACACGCGCACGGTTCGGGAGGTTTGACGGGAGGAGATACGGAAAACGACATTCGGCTCTTTCCTACTATATATATGTAGACCTAGTTATAACCCATACCTTCAGACGGTTTGAGTGGGTCTGAAAATTTGAGATGCGGTTTAAACCC